GTACTGTAGTCACTCACTGCCCTGCTCTGTCAGAGATGCCCGTGGATGAGCAATGCTTTAATTATTGATGTAATTCTGACGAGGAATGTTGGTGCTCCACAGGGTAGTGAGATTCTGTGGTGTCTGACCCTTTTCGGGACATAAATTTACATTCCCTGAAAAGGCAGCTGGCAAGGAAAAGCCAAATAGTTTGTTGATACATGATTAATCGTTTATTTTCCTCTCAAACAATAAATGTGAAATTCCAACACAGCACTCCTCAGGGGAGGTCAGGAGGAGGAGGGAACAGAGCACTTTTCTAGCTGTAAGACGGAGGCCCCAACTCGCTTCCAGTGAAGTTGGCAGCAAAGTTCCTCTCAGTTCAAAAGCAGTTTATTAACTCCAAGATTGTGTTTGGGCCAACTCCCTGCCACATCAACACCGTGTATCTGTCCAAAGGAGTGCAGCAAGCCCATCTTGCTCATACATCCTAATGAATAGCTCCTGGGGCAGTTACAGCAGGGTCAGGGCCACTGAGGTGAAGGAAATATATTTGTGTTTCTTCATAAAGATCCTCACTTCTTACGTACTTGCTGTGTTGTCGCAGAATTTCATCTTCTTACCTGGCTCATTGCAGTCAGCGACACTTGGAGTCCTCTAGATCTTCAGTGTGCCAAGCCACTGGTAACGGGAAGGCTCTCGGTAAAACAGAAGGATTTTGTTCATCCCTAAAGTTTTTAGCAGGGTGTGGTATAATTTCTTCTTTTTCCCTCCTAGCCAGTGGGAAAGCACAGGTCTGGGTCTATCTGGTTTTTCTGCTGTGAGATGCCAATTGCCTAAGATGGGGAGTGGGAGAATAGTCCCCTGACCTGTGTGGCTGTGCTTGGAGTGCAGGAGTATGCGCGTTTCAGGAGGGTTTTTAAATGGAGAAGGGGGTTGTAATACAATTGTAATGCCTTTTGTATTACTTGTTTTTCTTCCTTGAATATCTGAAGCTAAGGGGTTGTTAAAAGCACATCAGCGCGTATTTTTTATGGTCATTAATATTTTAAAGCAATTACTTTTCCCCACTGACACAAGACATGATATGAAGGCATGATTTCTCAATTCCTACTTGTTGAGGTTCTGAAAAAGAAAGAAACGCATCCTGACGCTAGCAGAAACAACTGGTTTTATGGGAGTATTTTCATGAAGCACTAAAAGGAGGGACCTCATTGTATTTTCACTGCAGAAACCAATAAGCTTATTTTAAAATTGTAACATTCTCTCTTTTTTCCCCCTCTTCTGTATGCACAGCATTCTTACAAGCATGTTATGCAGCCTTAAGTTTCCATTTGGAAGCTGAGCAAAGCTATTTACAGATATTTATTCTTAAATTACCCATGTCCTCTGTCAGATGCAGCCCATCTTGTAGTTTCAAAATAACCCAGTCTTACATACTTTTCATGGATTTTTATTAACAAGGATGAGCAAGCAAGCATAAACATGAATCTAGATGAGCTAGTTTACAAAACTTCTGGTAAGCCATAGCTAGAAGAGTGAAAGCAAGCTCACAATTAAGACTGAAGCAACCAGTCAACAAAATCACGAAACTGATAGAGCAGATAATAAAATAATATTTATAAGGAACTACTTAGTGTTCATTTTTCTTGCTTTTGTAAAATCTAAGGAGGCGATAGTTTGCTTTTTATTTGGCCATGCCAGCAGTAAGTACCTATTCTGGTTCTAGGCCTTGCTTATAGACAGTCACACAAAGAGGGTAGTTAAGCTGTACTGGCGTACTGACCCAGCAAGCTAACCACGGAAAAAACATGAAACCAGCTCTCTGTATGTGTATTTTTGCATAATAAAAGCCCTAGTTTTTATCACCCTTCATTTGTTCTTTTCATGCACCAATACTTATTACAGGCATTACTTGCGTATCTTCAGCATCTGCTAAGTATTGTGAACTCCAGCAAAGAACTTGAAAACAAACACAGCTTTATAGTCTACTCTCAAGATATATGACTAAGGAGTTGTAGTCTTCTCAATAGCATTGTTTTGTGGGCTTTGTGTCACAGAAAGAGGGGGAAGCGGAGATGTTGTGTAGCCTTTCCATTTCCCATTCTGTCTGCAACTCTACTGACTTTTGTTATAAAAACACGGATTGCCTTTAACTTTCTTACCAGAATAAATTCCACTGATGATAAATCATGTAAAATGTTCCTACCTCCAGACTCATCCTTGGATGCAAGACTGTCACAATGGAATGAGATCTCTTTTCCTAATATCTGTTAAACTCTTTCTAGCCAAATTGGTTCACCTGAGAGTAACACAATGGATTTTCTCCTTTCATTCTGGTAGGTCAGATAATGAAGAGCTGGAAATAGAATCTGGCTTTAAATCCATATGTGATGGCATACAGAGAAGGTTCAAAGACTTTTCTAAAAGTACTTTCATTTAGTCATGTATAGCCATCCCAACGCTATCTTTTGTTTGCATTTCTCAGTACCGATCAATACTTTATTGCCTGCTCTTTCATGATGAAGGCCTTGGAGGATCAAGTAGTCCAAGAAGAACCAGGATACCAAGATGATGAGGTATATTTATGGTTCACGGGAAAATATGTGCAGTAAATGTTATCCAAAGATATTTTTACAGTGTTATGAAACCACAGAGAGGCAGGAGGTCGCCAAAGACCATCAGGCAGTTCAACGCATTTAAAATTTTGTTACAGTCCAATACAAAGAAAATGTCATGCTTCTAGTCCCTATATGGTCTTGCTTTTCACGTTTAAGTATTTTTCATTACCTCTCAGAAACTATGCACAGATTTTCCTGGATTATTATTACTGCTTTATACCTTATGCCTTTATATTAAGTGCAAGGGGACTATCAGTTAATTTTATGCTTCCTGAAAAGGCTGAGAAACTGTGGAGGGAAGAATCAAGAAGATGCTCGTTACACAGATTTTATTAGCATAGTAGAGGATTGCTTGGTGCTGAAGATACATTTTATGAAGAAGGTGATAGGAAATGTGGTAAGCCTTCTTGGCTCACTGTGGCTTTGCTTATTTTAGTAGTTCAATAGACTATGTTTTAGGGGAAAAACTCATCTCAATGTTTAAGAATTTAAAACGGGGACATGGTGAGATAGAAGAAGTTATAAGAAAAAGCCAAATCTGATTTTCTTTTGTGTGTGTGGTTTTTTTTTAGGAATCCTTTTTTCAGGATATTGATTTGCTACAAAAGCATGGAATTGTAAGTATAAGCAATGCCTTTATCACACAGAATTGTTCATGCAAGGCTATTTTAAGGTTATTTCTAAAAACACACATTGATACAACTAATTGAAATTCCTCCTTGTAATAAGTTCTAAATAAGCATCATGTGAGGACAGACTTTGTCTTTGATGAATGGACAGGTCTCAGAAAATCTTATTCCTCTCAAACTCCTGAATAAAGTGGCAAGATATTCAAAGTACTTAGCACCTAACACTTCTTGAAAAACCAACTAGATGCCAATTTATTTGAAAACCGTATGATAGATTACTTCCTGCTCCTGCCAATCTTTGTAATTACTCCCGCATTTTTGATGCTCGTGAAATCATGCTGTGACAATTGTTGCTATACTATTTTCAGAATGCTGAGGAAGAAGAGGGTAGAATGGGAGTGAAGAAAGTATTAGTAGCTAGAGAAATAGGCAGTTAGATTTCCTCTTCATTAGATACAGTTTCCTATCATCTTTATCATCATTATTATTATCACATAAACGTCACCTATTTATTGGAATGATTATTATTATATATTTATCCAGGAGCCTGGCTCAAACCTATTATACTCAGTGTTATATAAACACAAAATAAAAAAGTTGGCTTTGCCCCAAATAATTTAAAATTTAACTCTTCGATAAATGACTACAGATGATGGATGCACACAGGGAGGACACAGACACAATGAGACAGCATTAGTCAGCATTGTTACTGGACTCAGCACGTCAGCAGTCTAATTGTTGTCAACTTTTTTATTGGCGTTGATGTTGAGTTTTAAAGAAAGCCTTGAAGAAGGATAACGAGGTAGGGAGCTCCAAACATGGGACAACACAGTGAAACCACACAAATTCTTGTTTCAAAATCTAACAAGTAGGCCAAAGAGGCTGAGGAGTTGAAGCGTAGTAGCACTAGCCTGTCAGTATTGGATAAGACATGGTATGTACAGAATGACAATAAGGCATGAAAGATCTTGAAAGTAAAGACAGACTTGGGCTGTTCTTTGTACTGCAGTTTTTGGAAACAGACCTAGTTTAAGAGTCTCCTGCTCCTTTTCCTTTTTTCTTCCTTCCAACTGGTCATTTCCACCCCCCAGTGGAAGTTGTTCTCAGCTGTGCCCATGAAACTCTATGTGTGAATATATGACGACCCATATCTGTTAAATTAACTTGCTTAAATAAATAGCTTTTGTCGGTTTAGATTTTTTTTTTTTCTGGGAGTAGAGAGAGAACTATATAATAGATCCGACACTGGCCACAAACAGAGCCAGATTAGCACAATTAAGGCTGTGATCTGATGTCCAAAAGGGTTTAGTAGGTATTAAGCTCCTCTAACACCACAGCCTTTGCTGAGTGTTTCCACCCCTACAACATGCTATCTCCTCTTCTATCATATCTGCTTTTATGGCCGCCCTATGAACTGGATTAGTGAATCAATTCATCCAAAATTTTTCACAGCAAAAATGTGTTTCATGTTTTTTTGTTTTGTTTTGTTTTTAAATTCTGGATCTACTCTCTTTTCCACTTCAGAAGCATGCAACTGGGACAGAGATGTGACATAATAAGGTAGAGGGTCAGGACAAGCAGCAGGTATAAGGGGGGAGGTGTGTCAATATTTTCAGCCAGCGCTACTGCTGAACATTTGATAGTATCAAACTACAGTCTAAGAAGTAGTAAATCCTAGCATCTTGGTTGGTAAATTAGCTGTTGGGCTGCTGATGAAAGGTGTATGTGTGTGGGAGAGAGCAAGAACTTCTATAACCATGTCTACCATGCAGGGAATTGTAATGTGGAACAGCCTTTAGTTTGGTGTGATCAGAAAGGCAAAGCCAGTGAAGAAATGCAAAACCTGGGTAAAGCTTGTAAAGTTGTGGTCTAGGAAAATTATCTTTGCAGCAGTCGGCTGTTATCTTAATGGAAAAAAAACAATAGGAACAACAAGCTCAGTGCTTTTTACGTTACTGGTTATTATATCCTTTTGGGTAGACGTTATTTTTATTCATGACTGATTTTGCCTCACCCATCCTTATTCATATGGTAATCCAGAAATATACCACAGGATGAGAGATAAGCTTCCCAGTGAACGTGATTAACTTCTCTCATAGCCCCCCTCCATTCTTATGTCCTGTGCACCCACACGCTCTAGATAAATAGATGATACAGCAAATCTGTATTTTTTTTTAAAGAAAGGACTTGACTGGAGATGGTAAATTGAAGTATTATCCCAAAAGCTGTGCACAGTATGTTTTCTTGTGAGTAATCTATTAATAGTTTTGCCTTTAAGTTTCTAGTGATGTCAGAATCATAAAGAGGGAAGGTTCTCAGCAAAATGTGCCACTATGGCTCTGACTGAAGTCATGATGTACCCAAAATATTAAAAATGCCAGTAAATTTGTTTCATCGCAAAGTGTACGTTGGATCTGGCAGGCTATATGTATTTTAAATTGGACTTACTGTGAACATTCAGAAACAATGCAGTGGTTAGAGTCAGCTTCGAATGATCCATGAGAGTCAGCTGCCAACAATCCGTGAGAGTCAGCTCCCAACTATCCATGATCAGAGTATCTGTTTTACAGATTATCTGTGCTATGGTACGAAGGACAGCTTGAGTTTGATAGGGTTTATTAGGTCGGGCTCCACAATTTGAAATGATCCATATGGCATCCTTACTACCAGCTTGGATCTAAAAAGATGCACAGAACAGGGACAAGTAAGTAGAACCGCAGCCAAGATGCCTTTCTCACAAAAGCATCAGGATGTCTCTGCACCCTGATCCCCCATACCGATGTTACTCAAATCTTTCTTGTATTTGGGTGTTATTGTCTCATGTTACACTGCTTCATGAAGAGTTTAATGTAAATCTGTTTCTTTCTTGGTGAAAATACACATGCACAGGAATGTATAACATAATGTGTTTCAAAAACTGACTTTGTTTTCTAGATGTTAACTTTCTTGAGTACTCATAGAAGGGAACTTTCTTCACAGAATGTAGCTGATATTAAAAAATTGAAGTCAGTAGGGATCTGCACTATCAAAGGAATCCAGATGACAACAAGACGGGCACTGTGCAATGTGAAAGGGCTTTCAGAAGCCAAAGTGGACAAGATTAAAGAAGCGGCAAACAAGCTTATCGTAAGCAATCACTTTCCTGATAGTTTAAATGTTGGCTGCCCTCTCCAAAATGCTATGCAACATTTCTCTTAAAAGCATTTTTCTCCACATCATCAAGCTGATTCTGGAAATGATTCTGCTTGTTACTCTAAAGAGATATTTTAATATTCTACAACAACCGGACAAATATGGTGAAGCTTTTCATATCCAACCTGTGTAAATGAGACTAGGGTGGAGAGAGGATATTTAGGTGGGACATCACACAACCTTCAGGTCAAAGCTAAACAAAATAAATCTCTCATGTTCTCTTTGCGTTTTTAGGAACCAGGCTTCCTGACTGCCTTTGAGTACAGTGAAAAACGGAAGATGGTATTTCATATTACTACTGGCAGCCAGGAATTTGAGTAAGTTTAGCTCTACTTAAATCATACCTTAATCCAAATTATTGTTGTTAATGACACAAAAGGGCAAATATTCAGCTAGGATATGTAGGTTATAAAACCTTGTATTTGGCGCTAGTGCTGGCTCAAAGGTGCCTGCATGAGTAAGCAACAAAACCAAGTTTCTGAGGGAAACTGGACTTTGTACAGTGATTGTAAATAAACAAAGTTTGCATCTAAATATCCTGACTGTAATCATCATTTTTTTCACCTAGCGGAAGCAACTCCTAGGATTGAGGTCAAAATGGTAATTCCTCAAAAGCTCTCTTGGGATATTTTTATGGAACATTATCTTTCCAAAGTTATTTTCTCTCCAGTAATAATTTCTATAGCTTTTCTCTTGAAAACAGACAGGAAAGGTGAGACAGAGTTAATTTTTTGTATATCAGTGATTATTTAGTGCCCTGCACTTAATGCACCAAGCGAGGGACTTTGGGACAGAAATAACTTCTCTTATGGTAGCAAAAATTCCTCTTTTCTACTTTCCTCTTGTGATTTTGCGGTTTAGGTATATCATAATTCTCTCCCTTTCTCCAGTAAACTGCTAGGTGGTGGGATTGAAAGCATGGCAATCACCGAGGCCTTTGGAGGTAAGAAGAAACACATTAAATGTTTTATTGAGCCAATAAAGAACTGCAACATAGTTTAGGTTTTAAATCAAGCTGGATTTCTACTCTCAAACTTATCACACTGTAGTCATAAAAGATAAGTACCTGCATGAGTGCAAGAAGGAGGAATCCACTTTTAGCGTTTTCCCATTTTTTTCTTGATTTGTTTGCAGATTAAGTTTGAGCTGAGTGATCATTAGGCCTGGGGCCATGCTGATTCTGTACATCATACCATTATTAATACTCTTACTAACAGTACTGCATACAAAGGATTTCCCTGCTATAGTATCTGTTCCTTCCCAGTAGGGAAACTGCCACAAAAGAGATTCTGTTTATGCCCAGAATGCATTGAATTTCATATAAGATTAAGAAGTCACACCTAATCTATAATTAGAGTAAGTTTGATCCGTTGGTGATTCAGTAACAATAACAGTAATAATAGTTTGTCAAACACAGGAATCTTTGCTTTTGAAAAGATGTACTAGAGACTCAAACGATTTGATAAAATGAGGTTAATCATCATAAACTTCTTAGTCATTTTACTAAAAATGAAACTAGGTCTGGTCAGTGGAATCATCCATTCCCCTTTCCCCCTCCCCCATTAACAGCTTTACCATGGATGCCTTGTGGTATTTAACTTAAACATAGAAAAGTAGAAATGAACTTAGCAGTCAAGCATGATATATTTGAAATTAAAGCATTTCAGATTTTGCTTTTCATGGTAGACATTTCTACTGTACATACTATGACCTATTAATTGGGGTTAAAGATACAAAAGACAGAGATGCAGATGAATTTTGTAAGTTGCAATAACACATGACTTTGGCAAACTCAGAAAAAAATTGACTTCTTTTCTTTATTTAATAGAGTTCAGGACAGGAAAAACTCAGCTGTCTCACACCCTTTGTGGTAGGTGTACTATCTTAATACTGAGAATTTATCTCTGAGCCCATCTTTTGCAACTGTATCAGAATTCGACATAGAGGCAAGTCAGAATCCTTTATCTCTAGAAATACATTCAAAAAGACCTTGCTGACTCCTATCTTCATTAATTGTGTTTGAGTACAGAACTCATATAAATGGTTTCCTTTGAGTACTGCCCAAATCAACGCAAGTTTTGCCATACGGAGAGAGAAGACAATAGATTGCATAATAGAAACCAGTGAAACACTATCTAAAACAGCAGAGCAAAATATACGTTCTGGGTAGACAGGGATATTGCTCGAAAAGGGCAAAGGCAAGGTTCTTTCTCAGCGACTATTTTAATTTCCTGGTTTCAACAGGTTTTGCTGAATATGACATTCTGAAAGGGCATAGCATACTGCTGGCCAACATTAACTCCATAAACAAAGACTTTGGCAGTTATCATGTTTGGGCAGTGTCAAGCAAAGCAGGACTGATTCCTCAGTGCTATCTCACGCCATATAAATAATAGTAAATAGTAACTAATGTAATTACTAATGCTGTTGAAATATAGTTACTAGACGCTCGACAGACAAACATTCACTTGGATAAACCATATATTATAATGGGTATTATGGATCCTTATGGAAAAATGGGGCTTCTTCCATTTAGTCCAATCTAATGGCCAAATTGGTCAGCAGAGTTGTATCCTGTTGCATGAATGATTACAACTGGATGAATTTGGTATTTTAATTTGTTCACTACTAAGACTATAAAGCCACAGACACTAACTATTCATATGCCAGGAAAGATTAATATCCCAAGAATTATTTGATCATACAAATGAGAGCTGGAAAAAACCTATTAAATCAATACCATTAATTTTGGGCAGAAGACTAAGAGGATGTTTTGTGCAGAAGTACTTCTTCATAACATCCTTAAGTATTTTCAATGTAAAATACACAGATTGAGTGATAGCACTGAGTAAAACACAATTTTGACACCATTGATTAAATCTCATCCGATCTCCAGTAGAGAAAAACTGGATCAAATTTCTCCTCAAGCTGGCAGTAAAACTTTATTTACTCCTGATTTCCCTGCTGAGTACAAACTAGTGCCTCCTTGTACTTTTGGTATGGATAAGTGGTCACTGTATTTGATGAAAAATAATAATAGAGCAAGAAAACATTTTTCCCACTTTTTCATTTTGATCTTCTATGATTCACTCTAGTGACAGCTCAGCTTCCAGGATCAGATGGCTACACAGGTGGGAAGATTATCTTCATTGATACTGAAAACACTTTGTATCTTTGAGACTGTTGAAAGCTACAGGTATGATGGACTGGAAAGATGGTTCATTTTGTTATAAGTATAACCAGATAGGAGGTTCTACATAGCTCCATACATGCAAAACATTATGGAATAGTGTCTAATCTACTTTATCACACATGAGGAAAAATTAAGTTTACTCTTACCATAAATGACCAACACAGAAAGCCTGGACAGCACAGTGTGTAGTGGTCAGAAGGCAGTGGTTTTTATCTCTGTCATTAGAAGCAATCTAATCTGGATTACTTGGGGTTAGGATACAGATTTTATTTTAACTGTTTTTCTGGAGATATAATACACCTTTTCTGCAACAATACATGATACCGGTTATAGAAGCTTTTCTATTTACTTCAAAAGCAATTCATCTAAGCACTAAACACTATTTTTAACACATCATATCTGTGGTAGACTGTGTATAAATAGTCTTTGCTCACTGCTAAGTTCCTAGAGCACAAATATCTGTATGTCAAAAAAAAAGAAAAAACCCAAACCCAAAATAATTATCATAATGCACCCTAAACTATCTTTAGGGTATGTGGGACAGTATGAAGAGAAAAGTCACAAGTCTTCTCTAGGATCCAAATATATATATGTTTTCCCATAGTTCTATTTTGGAATGGGTTTTTATTATTTTCAGAGCATGGTTTGTACAAAGAGAAATCCTTAACGATGACTAATGTCAGCCGACCGGACCGTCTTCGTGACATTGCTGATCGCTTCAGTGTTGACCATGATGCAGTACTTGACAACGTGCTGTATGCACGTGCATATACCAGTAAGACCATCATTGCAACTGGCATAATATCCATGTTTTTTTCCTCTGAGATTCCTATTTTAATGGTTCTCTGTTTATTAACTGAAATTTCCCACTGAAGATCATAAAGAACATTTTGTTGCTAACAAAAGGAGCTATAACCTTGCTTCCATTTTCTATTTCTGGTGTTGTACTGTAGCACACTTGCTCAGTGTATGTATTCCAGCTCAGTTGCACTGCATAAACAATAAAGATTTTCAGTTTGCAGTAACATTAAGTGAACTCTACCAGGTATGTGATCCCAGAGTATGTGGTCCCAGAGTACTACCTTAGTATCTGCTCCTTGGAAGTAACAGAAGCATCAGTTATGTAATCCTGAGTGCCTGCATATATAAGCTAATTCTATAAATGCTGTTGAGAAATTCTCTGTGATTTTGTGAGCAAACTTTATAGAGAAGGTTTCATGTACTTTGTGACAACACATTGCATTAAAACTGCAAGGAAACTTTTAATGGGGCTTTTACTTTCTGAATACAACATGAATATGAGTACTGTGAGTAATACAGTGTTCTCTGTTACTTAATTTGTCATTGAATTCAAATGTTTACATTGATTTTCAGTTTTCAATACAGAAGAAAAAGTTGTCTTGATGCATAGTTTGTTAGACTTTTCATAGAGAAGTTTTGCTAGTTGGGTAAAGTGCAACTAGCAGAAGCACAGGCAGCATCATTGGGTATTATAGAGGTAACTCATTCGTGAGTGGGACATTGGTTTTAAAACGGCTGGCAGTGAAACAATAAACAGTGTAGATATTTAAAGTGGAATTTTAAAATACAGAGTGGAAAACTGGCTTTTGTTGCTTCACAGCTTTTCTTTCCGATTCTAATTTCATTTGACAACTGTACTTCCCACCAGGTGAGCATCAGATGGAGTTGCTTGACTATGTAGCAGCCAAGTTCCATGAGGAAGCTGGTATCTTCAAGCTGTTGGTACAAGACTTCAATATTTTTCTTTTGTTTCTTACTGCTTTCAGAATAGGTTTTCCTGTTTTCTTCCACTATATTTATCTAGCATAATTACAATGCAGATCATTGACTCCATTATGGCACTATTCCGTGTGGATTTCAGTGGTCGTGGAGAGTTGGCTGAACGGCAACAGAAACTTGCTCAGATGCTCTCAAGGCTCCAGAAAATATCAGAAGGTAAGGGAAATATTGCAAAATACAGAAAATATGGGCAGGAGTTACTGAAAGAATAGTTGCTGATAGCCCAGCATGACCACCTAGTAGCCCCAATGTATTATCAACCAGGCATTGACCCAGGAATCTTTCCTCACTTTATGCTTCAATTGGTTACCAAAAAGAAACCAAGAAAAGAAAGACTTTCTTCTTACCAAAGAAAAAAGATCAAACTGATGAAAAAACCTTATTATTTCAAGGTGACAGGTTAAGGATTATTGAGAATTATTCAATATTTAGAGTCTTCCTAGAAATACTTCTAAGAGAACTCCTAAAAGAGAGGACAGGTTGGTGAAGTCTCATAGGTACTACAGCTGAAGTCAAACAGGAGCAAAGTTAGGCCCTCCCTTGATTAACTCCTGCCATCAGAGACAAAAAATATTTGCTTCTGTTTCATTTGAAGTTTGAAGTGCTTCAGCAGCAGCCTTGCTTTTACCATGCATGTGAGAATAGGTTTGAATTATAATTTCATATATTATTCTTTCTTGACATGATTTTCTATTGCAGAATATAATGTGGCTGTCTTTGTGACTAATCAGATGACTGCTGATCCAGGAGCAACTATGACGTAAGATACTTTTTCTCTTACCTTCTTTTAAAATTTCTTCTCTTTTGTTTTACATATTTAACAGAGATGAGAAATGAGATTGTATGGAGCAAGAGGCACCGATATAAAGGTACACTCCTCATTTTTAAACTGTTTCATACTAGAATGTCATTGGTCCTTCTGGTATGATAAATCGTTCAAAAATGACACTTGCGGGTTTCTCTCAGTTTTCCTACTGAGTTTTTTTAATGTTCAAGTGCTGTTTGGCATGATGGCCTCTTTCATTGTGATTTGAACTAAGAAAACAAGCCATAAAAATTATTGGAAAAAAACGTCAGATTTTCTTTTGGAGCAGCTTATAAACAAAGTTTAAGGATTGTATCTCTTAGGCCTCTTGAACTTTATGCTAGCGTTGAGCATTTGCACATCCCGTCTTGAGACAGGCGTGTAAAAGTCCTCTTTTGATTCATTTACCTATGTGTTATTCATTACTGAGTCTGATATGCCTCATCTGAGAGCTAATCGCAGTGTTAACGTATGGAATTTGCACAGTGAATCATCAATATTTTATTGCTAATTTAGCTTTCAGGCAGACCCAAAAAAGCCCATTGGGGGCCACATCCTTGCGCATGCTTCAACTACCAGGATCAGTTTGAGGAAAGGGAGAGGGGAGCTGCGTATTGCAAAGATATATGACAGGTAAATCACCTTTTCTTTACAGGAAGGAAGCTGTGTTACAAGCAAGGTTAAGATGATGAAGTTCATGGTTCTGAAACTTAATAGCTTGACAATTGATTCATGGTTTCCAATTAGCTATGTTTCTGGATGGTATGTTGAGAGAAAATGTGAAAAGACAAGCCAATGAACAGACTTAAAGTTCTGTTCCACATATCATGTATATTAAATTATATAATCTTTCGTCATAAATCCTACTAGATGCTCATCTCCTAAAGAAGATTGTCAAATAGTTTGGTAACATTGGTGGTCCCTTGGCGGGAAAGATCCAGAGCTGTTTAATTATGAAGTTTTAATTAGGAGTATCAGTTTACCTGGTAGGCTGTGGCAGACGCAAGTCATTACAAATTTTATCAGTGGAATTAGTGTATTTATAGAGAGACCCAGCGTTCCTGGTCTGGAACTAAGACATTTAAGTGAAGGTTTACATAGACAGAATCTTTGCTTCTCCTACACCTCCTCCTTTCTCCTCCCTTGTAGTTCTCATCTTCAAAGAGGTAGATTTCACATTTTCTGATCTTGATCATCTTGGATCACTTTCTACAGTTTGCACATAGCCATAAAGGCATTGAAGTATTCCATGTTGCTTCTTATACTTGCATCGTTTTGGGGTCTATGCCACAGCTGCCTTTAACATGGGGGAAAAACAGAGTTTCTTGTTTCTCTTCTGTCTGCAGCCCTGAGATGCCTGAAAATGAAGCTACATTTGCAATAACTGCTGGTGGGATTGGGGATGCCAAAGAATAGGCAGAAAACTGATGCAAATGTATAGCTGCCCCTAGGCAGCTGGGATGGAGACGTGTGTGCAAGGTCACTGAATCCCTGGCTTCATTTTTATCTTTTGGGGATCATTTGAGATATTTTTGGAGGACATTGGAACGAGCTCTGTACAGTTCAGTTTTATTGATCTTGATAGAATTTGGTTCATTTTAGGGGCTTTGTTTTTCAATTGAACTTTCAGCAGACAAAGATTTGAAAAATAAACTTGTGAATTGTTCAAGGAATCCTTTCCCAATATTTTGTGAAAATCAAAGCTGTCTTCTCACATCACCTTAATGTACTCTTTTTCAATTTCTTTGAAAGTGAAAGTCTATGAAGGAGAATTTAATAGTGTGAAATGGAACAGAATTGGAATAAACATAGTTTCAAGAGTGACCGATAAATAGATGGAAAAAGCAGTGGCAGGGCAAGAGCCCAAGAACTTGATGGAATCTCATGAACAGTAGAGGAGCAGTAGTTGCTTGAAAATATGTTTTTAGGCCTTCTTATCTTGACTAGATTATTTTTGTCCTTTTATTTAGCATGGTGACTTTTGGAGGGAATATTTTAAAATTGTTTTTATTTAGTAAAGCTAAAAATAAAAATAAAAAATTATTTGGCGCTCTGCTTATGTTTGGGTGCTTTGAATCAGACTCCGCTCTCAGTAATTTCCAAGAACATTCATGAGAAAAATAAGCAGGATGCAACCCAGTATTTTAAATCCCGTAGTCCGGTTCCCTAAGGAAACAAACATTGCGCGATTGCCTCACCAGTCTCCTTCTACTGTCAATGAGAATAGTAAAGATGAGGTTTTTTTAATGAAAAAGCAGAAGGAAACAGAAGCGGTGGCTAGATAGAGGATAGAGACTGACACTAGTACTTTCACTGAGGGAAAGACACTTTATGCTTAGCTTGCTATCTGTTCTGAGAGAGCGTAGCCGGCTGGCCCATCAACACAGCTATGTCCACAGATGTATGTCACTGGGGACAAAGGAACAAGCTGTGAGTAAAGAGACAAATGGGGGAGTAGGGGAAAAAAAATTTCAGTTTTCCCTACCTCCAATATCTATGGCATTGCTTGTTTTAAAATAAACTGTTAAATGCTTTAAAGAAAGGCTTCACTTCTTCCTCTTGTCTCACAACGCTGAAGAGAATGGGTCTAACTCTGGTGTTTGGTCAAAGAGCTTGTCTTTGCTCATAGAAGTGCATTTTAAATTTAGATTATCTAATTTATGTAAGATAATTTCTGGTCACCACTGTGTTTTTACTTCAAATTCTTTAAGAAATGCCTGGCACTGTAGCCAGAATTTAACTTCAGCAAGTTTACCTTGTGATAAAGTTAAAGAGTTTGCCTTCACTGAGTGTTTTCTTAGCGTATGTTATACTTGATAGTTTTTCTGAGGTAAAATACCATTTTTCACAGCGGAGAGAAGTCTAGAGAGACAAAGGCGCTAGGAGGTCAGTTGATCAGAGAGAGCCAGTAATGGATCAGCAGTTTTCATTTAATGTAGCATTTAATTCTCTGCCTCTACCAGTCTTTCCCACACCCGGCAGTTATTTGTAATCGCCAAGTAGCAGAGCGCAAGCGTGAGCTTACGGTGTTGATTCACTCCCACCCACTTAGGAGGCAAAAGTTTCTTCAACGCATTCAGCACCACGTTTGCTTTTTGCCTTCTCACATGTGCCATACGGTAATGCAAGAAGAATAAAGTGGTAAACAATTTGTATCTGGCTCCAGGCGAAGTCATTTGTTAACCTCAAGGGTCTGAAAGTAAAGGGGACTCGCTTGCTCTTCAGCCATCCTGATTTTTGATTGTCTGATAACCTGGAAAGCACTGCTGATCGTGCAGCTTTGGCGTGGGGATGCCATCGTTTGGCCGGTGCAGGTAGATCACCCGCCCGATAAACGGCTAAACCTCATGTACCAGGGCAGGCGAGCTGGCTGCTCGCCCAGAGGCGCCAGAAAGGGAAGCACAGCCCCTTTCCTTTCAAAAGGCCATTTCATTGCGGCCACCAAAAGCTCTCTCCTGTTGCGCAGTTCAGCGTAAAATTGACAGTTTTCTAACGAATAGTTTACAGCCCACGCCACGTGGCTGCCTCCTGGCTAATTTTATCATTTAGTTGGGAGTCTCCGGTGTTGTTCTGGAGTCGAATGCTACCGGGGCGCGTGCGCGCAGCGCCGGGGCCGTGCCCTCCGTCCTCTGGCTGGCTCGCAGGACTGGCCTCGCCTCACCTTGCGCCCGGCTCCCCCGGCAGGCTCCTCCTGCAGCAAGGGACCGCTTTGACAAAGATCACAGAGAATTTACCAATTCAGACACGCGCGTCGTTTGTAAAGATGACGCGATAGGGATAGGTACAATGGGAATGCTGCAGTAGGTTTGCTGCTGTTAACTTCTATTTATACGCCTTCAAGCATTTATTAAATAACAGACACGTGCCTTTGGTTTGTCTGTTTGAAGACAAGTCAACAAAGCCAAACTAGTGTCATCTACGTGCCTTTAAGAAACTATTTATCTCAACAAAATTACACATATTTGGGGTGAAAAGGCAACAGAGGACCTTACAACATCAACTTAATATTAAGATTTACATTTTGCATGTTCCATTTGTAAACATTCAGTGTATCACCCCATGGAATAACATTATAGTTAGCAAAAGTGTGAATTCTTTAGCAGTTGACTTTCTGGAGACGTTGCTATGAGGCTCCTGCAGTTATGGAGGGGGGTCACCAGGGCCGAGTATTAAGCCATTTTTGGATGCATTACACCAGTTTCTTCCAGCCTCCTAGAAATAAGGAGAAAGCAAACATCATGGCTGCTGTCGCTCCTGTTACGGGTTCAGCGCTGTGCGCGGCGCCAAGATCCCCTCCAGGCATCTGCGAGGAAAAAAAGGCGCGAAGAAACCAAACATAACCGGCCCCGCGCAGTCCTGCTGGAGCCGCCGCGGAGGCCGCGGGCCCCCGCGCTTCCGCTATTGTCTCCTCAGCCCCGAAGCCGCCTTCCAGGGGGACAGCGGCCGCGTAGGCAAAAGGCCGTATTCTCCAAGCTCGACTACGCTGCAAAGTTAACGTAATCCGCCAGCCCTTCCAGCAAAACCTACGGAAGAATTTTACGCAAAACGGGCGGGCTCGTCCTCCCCTACGCCAGCCCGAGTTGCGCAACTTGCGCACGCAGTGCTCTTACGTAACGTACGGCTCGGCCTGGGTTTTCCCTACCGTCCAGAAGGGGTTGCAAGATCGACTCCTTACGTAGCAGACTTTGAGGAATAGGGAGAGTGTTACTCTCCCCCCTCCCCTCCTGACGCAGGGGCCCCGCTTAAGCACAGAACACTACGTAACTTTCGTAACCTGCCCGCTGTGCGGAACAGTGTTTCGCGAAGAGCGCTTAGGGCGTAGTTGGGTTCCGAGAATAGGTGCAGATATTTTCGAGGGCCGGAATTTGCGCAGCGCCGGGCCGCCCGTAACGTAAGTGAAGCGGGTTGGAGAGGCGGCAGCCATTTTGTGCCGGGGGCCCGGAGGAAGAAGACGCTGGGGGCTCCCCACTTCACCGG